CAGTGCTTGGGTATTCTATTAGCCTTTAGTGCATTTAATTCGTTTTGGCTATTATAAGTAGGAAGGCAATATATCCTCATTTGCCCATAATGATCTTGTCTTATACCTGCTGTCCAGGCATAATTATAAATACTGTCTTTCTTTACTTTCGTAAAGCTAATGGTTTTGGATTTATAAGTAACACTGATCACCACTGTCGGCTGGCGTGGTGGCTCACCCCTGTAAATCTCAGCACTTTGGGAGGCCGAGGTGGGCAGATCGCCTGAGGTCAGGAGTTTGAGACCAGCCTGGCCAACACGGCAAAACCCTGTCCCTACTAAAAATACAAAAATTAGCTGGGGTTGGTGGCGCACACCTATAATCCCAGCTACTAGGGAGATGGAGGCAGGAGAATCACTGAACCAGGAGCCGGAGGTTACAGTGTGCTAAGATTATGACACTGCACTCCAGCCTGGGTGACAGAGCAAGACTCCGTGTCAAAAAATCAAAAATGAAAACAAAAAATAAAGCATTGCCTTCTTCCATATTTCAGATTATGTCCTTGGGATCAGGGATAATGAATTTTTTTTTTTCACTTCATGATTTGTGCTATAGAAAAAAAATTTTGGCTGGGTGAGGTAGCTCATGTCTGTAATCCCAGCACTTTGGGAGGCTGAGGTAGGTGGATCACCTTTAGTCAGGAGTTCAAGACCAGCCTGGCCAACATGGCAAAACCCTGTCTCTACTAAAAATACAAAATTAGCCTGGCATGGTGGTACGCGCCTGTAGTCCCAGCTACTCAGGAGGCTGAGGCAGGAGAATTGCTTGGACCCAGGAGGTGGATGTTACAGTGAGCCAAGATTGTACCACTGTACTCCAACCTGGGTGACGGAGTGAGACTCCCACCTCAAAAAAAAATTTTTTTTTAAATTTTTTTTGAGTGCTTGATATATAACATAAAAAATACTTCCTAAAGGGATATACATAAATATACAAGAATACCAGTTTTAGTAAATGCCAGTTTTGGGTGTTGCAGTTTTTTTATTGCTGGTAGAGAGAACTGATAGCCTGTTTTATTTGATATTTGTCATTCGAAGGACATGACACATCACTATTTATTATGTGCTCTTTTTTACTAAGTTATTATATTTGCTTATATTTTTAGTCTAGATGTATATTTTTAGTATTTGTACTGAAATAAAAATTTCCAAAAAAATTCCCACAGGTATATTTTCCGATGTGCTGCTTGCCTTTTTACTTTGACTACATTTTAAACTTTTATAATATCTTAATTTTATTATAAGTGTGTAAAGATGCTCAAAAAAATAAAATAAAATGTGTCAATATTTTCTTTCATATGCCAGGTGTGGTGGCTCACCCCTGCCCAGCACTTTGGGAAGCCGAGGTGGGCAGATCACTTGAGGTCAGGAACTTGAGACCAGCCTGGCCAACATGATGAAACCCTGTCGTAACTAAAAATACAAAAATTAGCTAGGTGTGATGGCACATGCCTGTAATTGCATCTATGTGGGAGGCTGAGGCAGGAGAATCATTTGAACCCAAGAGGCGGAGGTTGCAGTGACCTGAGATGGTGCCACTGCATTTCAGCCTGGGCAACAGAGGGAGACTCTGCCTAAAAAAAAAAAAAAAAAAAAACCATATGTGTATACACACACACACACACACATTCCTTTTTAATTGCTTTATTTTTCTGGGCCTACAAAACTATCTTTCCTATCCTCATTTTAGAGTTTTAATAAATAGCCATTTTTAGAATTCTTCATATTTAGTTCTGATTTTATTTGCATTATATGTATTAATATAGAAATCTTGATTTGTTTTTGAAATTATTAATATTATTTTTGAGATGGAGTCTCTCCTGTCATCCAGGCTGGAATGCAGTGGCATGATCTTGGCTCACTGCAACGTCTGCCTCCTGTGTTCAAGGGATTCTCCTGCCTCAGTCTCCCGAGTAGCTGGGAGTAGCTACGTGTGTTACCACACCCAGCAAATTTTTGTACTTTTAGAAGAAACAAGGCTGTACCATGTTGGCCAGGCTGATTATTTTTCAATCATTTTTTTATTTTTTTTGAGATGGAGTTTCGCACTTGTTTCTCAGGCTGGAGTGCAATGGCGCCATCTCGGCTCACTGCACGCAACCTCCGCCTCCTGGGTTCAGGCAATTCTCCTGCCTCAGCCTCCTGAGTAGCTGGGATTACAGGCACGCGCCACCGTGCCCAGCTAATTTTTTGTATTTTTAGTAGAGGCGTGGTTTCACCATGTTGACCAGGATGGTCTCGATCTCTTGACCTCGTGATCCACCCGCCTCGGCCTCCCAAAGTGCTGGGATTACAGGCTTGAGCCACCGCGCCCGGCCCTATTTTTCAATTATTAACAGGTTATTTAATAAACAACCTTGAGAGCTGCCTGACCAACATGGAGAAACCCTGAATTCTATTAAAAATACAAAATTAGCTGGGCATGGTGGCGCATGCCTGTAATCCCAGCTACTGAGGAGGCTGAGGCAAGAGAATTGCTTGAACCTGGGAGGCAGAGGTTGCGGTGAGCCAAGATTGTGCCACTGCACTCCAGACTGGGCAACAAGAGTGAAACTCCGTCTCAAAAGAAAACAAAAAAACCCAACCTTTTATTTTTTTATTGTATTGTGTTTCCTACTTTGTCATACATAATATTCTTATAAACAATGTCTATTTCAAGTTACTTCCTTAGTCCATGAAGAATAATTCCTTTTATAATAAATCAATAGCTCTATTCCTGCCATGGTATTGTGGATCTTTACTTGTTGATGCCTTAGAATAGTATTGACTGGGAGGAGGATCCAAGATGGCCGATCGCTAACATCTGGGGATTGCAGCTCTCAGTTAAAGCGCAGAGAACTAGAGGACGCAACACTTTCAGACAAATTCAGGTCGCTCACGGAGCAGAAGATCCCCAGTGCAGGAGTCACACGGGTCACCAGCATGACTCTTGTGGCCGGCGCAGCGGTTTCGCAGGCACCTCGGCGCAGCAGCTCTTGGAGCAGAGCAAACAGGGCTGGCTTCCCTTTGGACCGAGGTTTGGAGGACCCACACGGGCCCCCAGCACGACTCCTGAGGCCGGTGCAGTGGCTGTGACGGCACCTCGGCACAGAGTAAACGAGACTGGTTCCCCTTCTGACGGAGGTTTGGAGCCCCGGGAAGGCAGAGTCGCCTATTTCGGACACAAGAAGGAAGCCAGACAGGAGAATCCTGGGCAGAAAAGCACCATCAATCTTAATGCTGCTGTTCTGGCCCTGGGAACTAACAACTTGGACGTCCACTCAAGAGACCTAATCTGAAAGCTGGTAATTTCAAAGACGACAGGAGGATAAATTTACAATGATGGGAAGAAACCAGCGTAAAAAGGCGGAGAATACTCAAAATCAGAACGCCTCTCCCTCTAAAGATGATCACAGTTCCACATCAACAATGGAACAAGGCTTGATGGAGAACGAGCGCATCCCAGTAACAGAATCACCCTTCAAGGAATGGATAATAAGAAACTTCTGTGAGTTAAAAGAACATGTTGTAGCCCAACGTAAAGAAACTAAGAACTTTGAAAAAAGGTTTGATGAAATCCTATTGAGAATAGACAACTTAGAGAGGAATATAAGTGAATTAATAGAACTGAAGAATACAATACAGGAACTCCAAGAAGTATGCACAGGTTTAAACACTCGAATTGTTCAAGCAGAAGAAAGGATATCAGAGGTCAAAGTCCAACTTAATGAAATAAAACAAGACAAGATTAGAGAACAAAGGATAAAAAGGAATGAGCAAAGTCTACAAGAAATGTGGGACTATGTGAAAAGACCAAATTTACGTTTGATAGGTGTACCTGAATGCGATGGAGAGAATGAATCCAAGCTGGAAAATACCCTTCAGGATATTATTCAGGAAAATTTTCCTGAACTAGCAAAGCAGGTCAATATTCAACCCCAGGTAATACAGAGAACACCAAAAGATATTCCTCAAGAAGAGCAACCCCAAGGCACATAATCGTTAGATTCACCAGGGTTGAAACGAAGGAGAAAATACAAAGGGCAGCCAGAGAGAAAGGTCAGGTTACCCACAAAGGCAAGCCTATCAGACTTACAGCAGATCTCTCAGCAGAAACTCTACAAGCCAGAAGAGAGTGGGGGCCAATATTCAACATCCTCAAAGAACAGAACCTTCAGCCCAGAATTTCATATCCAGCCAAACTAAGCTTCACAACTGAAGGAAAAATTAAATCTTTTACGAACAAGCAAGTACTCAGAGATTTTATTACCACCAGGCCTGCTTTACAAGAGTTTCTTGTAAAGAAGCATTACACACAGAAAGAAACAACCAGTATTAGCCTTTCTAAAAATATACCAAAAATAAAGAGCACCAACATAAAAAAGAATTTACATCAATGAATGGATAAAACAGCCAGTTAACATCAAATGGCAGTAACCCTAAATTTAAATCGACTGAATCCCCCAATCAAAAGACACAGCCAAAACCCAACGGCATGTTAACATCCAGACCTGTTTCACATGCAAGGATACACAAAGACTCAAAACAAAGGGATGGAGAAAGATTTACCAACCAAATGGAGAGCAAAAATAAATAAATAAATAAACAAAAAGCATGAGTTGCAATTCTCGTATCGGATAAAACAGATTTTAAAGCAACAAAGATAGAGTGGTCAAAGGATCAATACAACAAGAGCTAACGATCCTAACACCCAGATACATAGAGACTTAGATTCAATGAGACAGAAAATTAATAAGGATATCAAGGACTCAAACTCAGATCCGGAACAAGTAAACTTAATAAATATTTATAGAGCTCTCCACTTCAAATACACAAAATATACATTCTTGTCAATACCACATCACACCTACTCATAGGTTTAAATGAAACATTGATTGGCCATTATTAATACCCATTTTTTTTTCAGAATAAAGCAATATTTCCATTCACCCTCCTTCTTTCTCTTCCTCTTTCTCCCTCTCCTTTTTTTTTCCACAAAAACAAGCAGTCTTTATTGCAGTATTACAAAACACTTTTCATTTTGGCAATATTTTACAACGCATTTAGCTCCAAGGGTTGGGGAGAAGGTTGGAAACTAAAAGGGGAAATCTCAACGGACACTTCTAAAAGAAAAACTGTCCCACCCCTCCCACCCAAATAAAAATCCAAATGTCACTTAATTTCACTACCCAAGAAGAGGCCACGAGGAAAGTAGCAGGCAAAACTCTGGCAATTTCACTATGGATCATGTCAGAGACAAAGGAACATTCAAAACAGTCATCAGTATGGTCGGTTGTGCTGATCATTTCTGTAGTCGTTTCTTCCTCCCATTTTGCCTCCATAGCCACCTCTGTCTCCTCCATAGCCCCCACCTCGGTCTCCTCCACAGCCGCCACCACTCCTGTCTCCTCCATAGCCTCCATTTCGGTCTCCACCGTAGCCACTGCCACCACCACGGTCTCCTCCATAGCCCCCCCGGCTTCTGTCTCCTCCATAACCTCCTCGATCTCCTCCATAACCTCCTCGATCTCCTCCATAGCCGCCTCCTCTGTCCCCACCATAGCCTCCACCTCTGTCCCCACCATAGCCACCCCCACTTCTGTCTTCACCACAGCCCCCCCAGTTCTATCTCCGCTGTAGCCACCACCACTGCTTCTGTCTCCACCATAGCCTCCCCCACTTCTGTCTCCACCATAGCCGCCTCGGTCTCCACCTCTGCCCCCACGACCTCTGTAGCCCCTCTCTCCCCCGTAGCCTCTCCCCCGGAAATCTCCTCCTGAAGGACGAGAGTCCTCTGGTCTAGGCTCATTGCACTGATTGCAGGAATTCCTTCGAGCAAAGTTCATATTTCCACATGACGGATTAGGACAAACCCAATCCCCACTTTTGGGGTCTCCGCCTCTCCCCTGAAAACCTCCACGACCTCTATATCCTCCACGTCCTCGCCGCCCACCTCCACTTCCACCTCCTTTCATGAATTCAGGTCTTCTAGTGGCAAAGGATACTTTAATGATGTTGCCATGGAATTCTTTTCCATCAAACCAGTCAATGGCTGCCTTAGCTGAAGGAGGGTCATCGAATGACACTGTTGCCTCCCCCTTTGGCTTCCCTGTGTCCTTGTCTGTATAAAGGTTTATCATTGGTTTTCCAGTCTTCTTATTTGTCTTGATAATTCCTATTTGTTTAAAGAACTCTCCAACCTGATCTGTAGAGACACCTTCCCCAAGTCCTTGCACAAAGATTGTGTTGTTATCCGAATTATCAGACTCTGAATCAGCATCTCTTCTGGGTCCATAATCCCTGTGACCACCAAAATTTTTGAAGCCACCGCGGTCACCACCACTTGATCCTGTCATAGGACCTCTTCCATCCTTGTCATATCCCCCATGCCCTCTACCTCCTCCCTGTGACCCGCCATATCCTCTATTATCTTCTCCATACCTACTCACATCACGACGGTCATCTTGTGTGTGGTGGCTGTAATTTTCCCTTTGTGAATGATAGGACTGCTGGTTTTGATTATAGGAATCATGCTGCTGATCATAATTTGACTGCTCATCATATGAGCCTTGATGTTGATCATAGCCTGACTGCTGGTCATATGAATCTTGTTGACCATAGTCTGACTGGTCATAGGAAGGTGCTCTTCCACCTTGGCTTCCTGATGATTCCATGTTTTGCTGCTGTCCCTGGTTATTATATGACTGCTGGCCATACGAGCTCTGCTTTTGATTCTCATAACCACCATAGGACTGTGAATAACCTGACTGACTTTGTCCATAACTGGAGTAACCACTGTAGTTCGGTCCATAAGAGGAATCAGTTGTTTGCCCATAGCCAGAATAGCTTTGTGGTGTTTGTCCATAGCCTTGGTTGCCTTGATTTCCAAAGGAAGAATAACTTTGCTGCTCACCCCCAGACTGACTGTAACTTCCAGAATCAGACATGACTAACGGCCACGGTGCGAAGGCCCCACAGCCTGCCGAGAACAAGGAATACGAGAGCCAGGCGGCGCGGCGGCCGGAGATGTACTCTCTCCCTTTCCTTTACTCATTTTTTTTCTTTCCTTCTCTCAAAAAAAAAAAAAAATTAATAAAAAATAAAAAATAAATCAACTTGTAAACCTCTAGATCCAGGTCGGCAATGTCTCTCTCATTGCTTGATTTCCTTCCTTCCCTTCCCTCCCTCCCTCCCTCCTTCCCTTCCCTCCCCCATTCCTCCCTTCCTCCCTCCCTCCCTCCCTCCCTCCCTCCCTCCCTCCCTTCCTTCCTTCCTTCCTTCCTTCCTCCCTTCCTCCTTCCCTCCCTTCCTGCCTTCCTCCCTTCCTCCTTCCCTCCCTTCCTGCCTTCCTCCCTTCCTCCTTCCCTCCCTTCCTGCCTTCCTCCCTTCCTCCTTCCCTCCCTTCCTGCCTTCCTCCCTTCCTCCTTCCCTCCCTTCCTGCCTTCCTCTCTTCCTCCTTCCCTCCCTTCCTGCCTTCCTCCCTTCCTCCCCCCAAAAAAAAAGAATAGCATTGACTGGCATTTGTCTCCCAGGATATTATTTAACAATGTTTACTATTTATTTCTATAAACAAAACCATTTTGAGAGGTAATGATAAAACTCCAAAATTCTAAGTTAATCTTAATGAGAATATGTAATATCATGAATATATTAGAAGCTAAGCAAATGTTACTATAGTATAAGGTATCATTTTATGCACAAATGCTAAAACTGTGGCCTTCCTGAGGACAGAAAGCGTGATTTAATCAATTATAGCCCCAGCACCTAAAACAAGATCTAATATGCCAGGGGCGCTGGCTCAGGCCTGTAATCCCAGCACTTTGGAAGGCTGAAGCAGGCGATCACCTGAGGTCAGGAGTTTGAGACCAGCCTGGCCAACATGGTGAAACCCTGTCTTTACTAAAAATTAAAAAATTAGCTGAGTGTGGTGGCGCATACCTGTAATTCCAGCTATTCCGGAGGCTGAGGTGTAAGAATTACTGAACCTGGGAGGCGGAGGTTGCAGTAAGTCAAGATCGTGCCATTGCACTCCAACCTGGGCAACAGAATGAGACTCTGTCTCAAAAAAAAAAGAAAGTGCTCTGCCTTTGGCTCCAGTTCTTCTGCTTCTCAAACACTCATTCTATTCTAGTCTTTGAATATGCACATGGCCTAGGGCGGACTCTTATAGATGTGGTGCTTGCCTAAATTAGAAAATGTATGTCCGGTGGGGTACACTGGCTCATGCCTGTAATCCCAGCACTTTGGGAGGCCAAGGTGGGGAGATCACTCGAGGTTAGGAATTCGAGACCAGCCTGGTCCACATGGTGAAACCTCGTCTCTAATAAAAATACAACAATTAGCTGGGTGTGGTGGTGCGTGCCTGCAGTCCCAGCTACTTGGGAGCTTCTAAGGTACGAGAATCACTTGAACCTGGGAAGTGGAGGATGCGGTGAGGCAAGATCGAACCACTGCACTCTAGCCTGTGTGACAGAGCAAGACTTTGTGTCAAAAAGAAAAAAAAGAGAAACAACATGATCTTTCTGGGATCTCAGGTTGCCTTTCTGTAAATCAGAAAAGGTCTCTTCACTGAGCCAATGCACCTTCTCACCAGGACACAAAACATGGCAAGCAAAGTGCAGGGTGGATTTGAACCACAGGCAGGCATCCTTGTGCAAGAATTTTGTAAGGAAGCCCTGGTCTATCCTAGCCTTGGACACAACCCTGGTCATGAGGTGGCATCCCCACAGAACTCACAAACCACCAAACCCAACTCCAGGCTCATCGTATGGTAAAATTTTGACACAGATCCCATGATAGAACCTATCTCCACAGGTTCCTTTTTAGTGCGATAGTCCAGCTAGGCATATCCAGAATGTCCTAAGGAGAGGCAAACTGCAAAAGTCAATATACATTATTTTGACTTGACTTGTCTGAGGCTGCTTTTCTTTTTCTTTCTTTTCTATTTCTTTCTCTCTTTCTTTCATTTCTCTCTCTCTCTCTTTCATTTTCTTTCCTTTCTTTCTTTCTTTTTTTATTTGAGTCAGGGTTTCCCTCTGTTGCCCAGTCTGGAGTGCTGTGGCTCACTGCAGCCTCAATCAACCTTGACCTCCTGGGTTCAAATGGTCCTCCTGCCTCAGCCTCCTGAGTACCTGAAACGACAGGTGTATGCCACCATGCAAAGCTAATTTTTTTTTTTTTTTAGTTGCCCAGGCTGGTCTCAAACTCCTCAGCTCAAATGATCCTTGTGCCTCAGCCTCCCAAAGAGCTGGGATTACAGGTGTTAGCCACTGCACCTGGCCTGACGCTGCTTTTCTTAGTGGATACATTTTCTAGTTGTTAAAGCTGCCACTTTATCAAGCAGGAATCCTATGTGTATGGAAATGTCTTGGCACAGTCAAGCCACACTTAAAAGAAGCTCTTACCCATATTTGGTCTGTACTACCCTATCAACAAAACAAAATTAGGTTTAGGGAAATAACCACATTTTATTATCCAACAGCCAAGTGAAGAATAAAGCAAATATAAGCACCACAGTTCAAATTTGACTAAACTTCAGTATTTTCTCCAACTGAAAGAGGTCCTGATGAGAGCCCACGATTCTGACAAAAATTGTGAGAGGAACTTTAGCAACAGATTCTGCTTGCTATACCTCTGCCAAGACAAGTCCCAGCAACAGAGGCATTCGGCTACTTGTAATAAATCTGGGTCAGATCTGCACTTAGAATTGGAAAAAGAATGGATTTGTAGCAATGTCTATGGGTAGAATTCGGAGTATCTACAAACTTGGATGGCTAAAAGACATGCAATCAAACAAACCCGATTTTCACTAACTTCTGGTTGAAATATAGTTTTTCCTTCCATCATAAATGCAGGTGCAAACCACAACAGTATTAGTGATATTTGTGACTTTATCACCACAGATATTTTTATAGCATATTACATTTGTGGCAGACATCTTACCACTCTCAGCATTCCTCTCCCTCCTACTTCAAAATCATGGTAGTTATTACATCTGCCACCAGATCTGATTTAGTGTAGTACTAAAGAAATACATTCATTAATTACTATGTTATGATTTAAAAATATCTTATTACTGTGATTGTGGTATAGCAAAACAAAATATTTTTTTTAATAATTGTATTTCAGCCCAATTGGTTTCCCCTTTAATCTTATGAAGTTTTTTCAGCACTTAAAAAAAATTATTCTGAGAAGGACTCATACGCCGTATCAGATTGCCAGAGGAATCTAGGCACCAAAAAAAATTAAGAACCCCTGTTCTACAGAGAAACTAAGATTACATTTAAAAGCTCCAAGCTAATAGAACAGGCAGATGAAATGTGCCACACTTGATCTTAGCCAAAAAGCCAAGAAGCAATGATGAAATGTTCTTACGTTACATACCCTAAACACTTTCCATAGCATTAAAACATTTCATGGACAGCTGGGTGCAACGGCTCATGTCTATAATTCCCATACTTTAGAAGGCTGAGGCGGAAGGATCCCCTGAACCAAGGAATTTAAGACCAGCCTGGGCAACACAGTGAGATCCTATCTCTACAAAAAATAGAAAAAATTAGCCAGGTGTGCTGGTGCATGCCTGTAGCCACAGCTACTTGGGAGGCTGAAGTGGGAGGATCTCTTGAGTCTGGAAGGTTGAAGTTGCAATAAGCCTTGATCCTGCCACCACACTCCAACCTGGGCAACAGAGCAAGACCATGTCTCAATCAATCAATCAATCAATCAATATTTGTATTTTGTGAATACCTAGATACAATTTATTCAATATCATCTCTCAAAATACCTTGTTCAAAACTACAATTAAAAATAAATTCCTTCTTGCCAAACACCGTCAACATGGTGTTCAGGCGCTTTTTGGAGGTTGGTTGGATAGCCTATGTCTCCTTTGAACCTCATGCTAGAAAATTCATCGTGGCCGGGCGCGGTGGCTCATGCCTATAATACGAGCACTTTGGGAGGCGGAGGCGGGTGGATCATGAGGTCAGGAGATCAAGACCATCCTGGCCAACATGGTGAAACCCCGTCTCTACTAAAAATACAAAAATTAGCTGGGTGTGGTGGCATGTGCCTGTAATCCCAGCTACTCGAGAGGCTGAGGCAGAAGAATTGCTTGAACCAGGAAGTCGGAGGTTGCAATGAGCAGAGATTGCACCACTGCACTCCAGCCTGGTGACAGAGTGAGACTCGGTCTCAAACAAACAAATAAAAATTCATCGTGGTGATCATAGATACTATTGATCAGAATAAGGCTTTGGTTGGTGGACCTTGCAGTCAAGTGAGGAGACAGGCCATGCCTTTCAAGTGCATGAAGCTCACTGACTTCATCCTCAAGTTTCCACAAGGTGCCGGCCAGAAATATGTCCAACAAGCCTGGCAGAAGGCAGACATCAATACAAAATGGGCAGCCACACGATGAGCCAAGAAGATCGAAGCCAGAGAAAGGAAAACCAAGATGACAGATTTTTATCATTTTCAAGTTGTGAAGGCAAAGAAAATGAGGAACAGACTCATCAAGAATGAAGTTAAGAAGCTTCGAAAGGCAGCTCTCCTGAAAGTTTCTCCCAAAAAAGCACCTGCTGCTAAGAGTGCTGCTGCTTCTACAGCTGCTGCTAAAGTTCTAGCAAAAAAGATGACCGCTGAGAGCAAGAAGGCTCCAGCTCAGAAAGCCATAGGTCAGAAGGCAGTACCCTAAAAGCTCTGAAGGGTCAAAAAGCTCCAGCCCAGAAAACACCTGCTTCAAAGGCATCTGACAAGAAAGCATAAGAGGCAATTATAAAAAGTAACAATGGTTCCTTTTGGGAAAAAAAAAAAAAAAAAGAAAAGAGGCCAGGCACAGTGGCTCATGCCTGTAATCCCAGTACTTTGGGAGGCTGAGGCAGGTGGGTCACTTGAGGTCAGGAGTTTGAGACCAGCCTAGCCAACATAGCGAAATCCCATCTCTGCTAAAAATATAACAATTAGGCCAGGCATGGTGGCTCAGACCTGTAATCCCAGCACTTTGGTTGGCCAAGGTGCCTGGATCACAAGGTCAGGAGTTCGAGACCACCCTAGCCAATATGATGAAACCCTGTCTCCACTAAAAATACAAAAAAATTAGCAGGGTGTGGTGGTGCATGCCTGTGATCCCAGCTACTCAGAAGGCTGAGGCAGGAGAATTGCTTGAATCCAGGAGGCAGAGGCTGCAGTGAGCTGAGATCGCATGCACATGCACACACACTAACCAGGCAGGGATAGGGGGAGTGGTGGGGTATGGCCAGGGGGAGCCTGTAATACCAGCTACTTGGAAGGCGGAGGCGGGAGAATTGCTTGAACCCAGAAGGTGGAGGTTGTAGTGAGCTGAGATCACACCACTATGCTCCAGCCAGGGTGACAGAGTGAGACTCGGTCTCAAATATAAATAAATACACACATTTCAACAGAACAAGAGCTGAGCAAATTATATAACATGAATTCAGAATTCTGAATAGTGTTATCTTCCTAATTTACATCAATGGAACTGCCTTATATCAGAGACCTTTGGATTCATCAGAAACTAGATAACTATATTCCTTGCTTGGAGTCCAGGACAGCCCTACTTTTTTTTAAATCAAGTTCTGCCTTAGAGAAAGTGTTAAAATAACTTTGACATGTACAATTAACCCCAGGTTTTAAAATAAATACTTACTAAACAGAAGGTTTCCATAAGGGTTTTTAAAAAGAGTCATCTGTTAATTTAATTCTGATCTTTTTTACATGTGCTTGTTAGCCTGTGCATAGCTCAAATTTATAGCTTCAGAACACTCTAACAGATGTTTCAAATATCTCATTTTCTATCAACATGAGAAGTCCTGGATTTCTAAAACCTAGAGGGAGTTAATATCATCCTAGACTAAAGGCAAAGACTACGAGAAAAAGTAGTATTATATGTTGCTAAAGTAGCCTTTCATATAACATAAATATTTTGAACAAGATCAAAGAAACCAGCTGATCCACGTTTAATCAAAGTTCAAAGGATTGTTTTTTTTGTAAATGTAGAAGTGAAAAAGACTTTTCAGAGGAATTTTTAAATTATATTTTTCATTATATTTTCTCTACCAGGATCCTTACTGATTCAACCTGTTTCAACACCAATGTAATAACCTTCCACAAATGAAAGGCTTTTTACTGAAAAAAAAGTTATACAACATATAGCACAGGTAGAGGGAAAAAAAACTAAAAGGATCTGTGATAGCCATCTCTGGATGGAAAAAGAGAAAAGCGACTTTATTTTTTCATAATCCTTAAATTTTTATAGGCACAAAAGATCCCTTCAAAGATAAAAAGTGGCCCTTACAAAAATAACACATCGCCAGAATATACTTTCTCAAACTGAATGAATATCTTTTGTGACTGCTACTTGTACTGAAGTCTGCCCCAACTTTCTTTATTTTTTTGAGATAGGGTCTTGCTCTGTGGCCCAGGCTAAAGTACAGCAGGCACGATCATGGCTCACTGCAGCCTTTAACTCCTAGGCTCACGTGGTCATCTGCCTCAGCTTCCCCAGTAGCTGGGATGACCTTCCTATATCACCACACCCAGCTAATTTTTAAATTTTTCTTTTGCAGAGACAGGGTCTCATTATGTTGACAGGGTGGCTCTAAACTCCTGGGCTCAAGCGATCCTCCCAACTCGGTGCTGGGATTATAGGCATGAACCACCATGCCCAGCCCTGCCTCTGACTTTAAGGGGTTTACAATCTAGTTGAGAAGATAAAGCTCAGATCCATGGAATAATTAAACAACTAAAAGATTCAGTCACAAAACAAAGGGAAAGATCAACATAATTTTTAGGAATTGAGAAGGAGAAGGCTCAGTGGGAGCCTGAGTGATTGGGCACAACCTCAAAGAGGAAGACTGTAGGTCCCATCAGGGCAGGGGCCACCACTGTGTTGTCTGCCAGTGAGTGTTCCGCTCAGGGCTAACTTCTATAAATATTTGTTGGAGGAGTGATTAATAGAGGAGAGAATCTGGCTTTGAAAGACAGCTTTCAAAAGATAGAGAGAAACCTACTATACCTACTAGAGCAAAGCAAAAAAAGCTTCAGATAATTCTGGGTTATAAACTGTTGTCTTTATACTATGAATAAGTGGGGTTTCAACTTTTCTAATAAACAGAATGAAAATGTGTCCTTAGAAGAGAAATTAGGCAATAACTGTGTGAGGCCACATGGAGGGATGATAAGAAGTAGCATGACCAGTAGCAAGAAATTGCTATAAAATAGCGTGACTTTAGTAAGCCCTGGAATGGAGCATAACAAAGAAAAGGAGCAGGAACTAGAGGTGGAGGAAAATTTACTGGCAAATCCTACAGGGAGGAAAGAGAAAAGGGAAGGCTTTCAGTCCTTTCCACAGTTTTGTGACTGAATAACTGAAAGAATGCTTTTACTCTTAAACATCCATCCAACCATCCATCCATCCATCCATCCATCCATCCATCCATCCATCCGTCCATCCATCTGTCCATCCAACATTCATTGATGCTACTGCATGGGGATTCTCAAACTTATAAAAAAGAGCAACTTTCCCTTTCCCTGACTATAGCTTTCAGTTGACTGAGTCCCTGTGTGTTCCAGGATCTATGCCTGACACTGGAATAGGATAATAAAGACAATCTCTACCCTGAAGAGATGAGAAAGAAGGAGATAAGCAATAATGTAAGTTGAGACTGCTCTGATAGCAGTGTGTTTTCTTCCCATTCTTTCCAACTTCAAATAGAACCTGGCCTGATAAACTGGCCTTGAGTAGCCAATGCAAAAGCAAAATTTACAAGTTTTTTTCTTTATTCTTTCTTTTTTTTTTTTTTTTTGAGATAGAGTCCTGCTCTGTTGCCCAGGCTGGAGTGCTGTAAGGTCTTTTGGGCTGATTGACAGTGCCATGGACGGCATGTTAACCTCTGTGACCTGCAGGGATACTCCAGATGAGTTCCTGGAAAATCTAAAGTAACTAGAAGACTATGCAAAGAGAAAGAAATGATCAACCTCTGTGCCTACTTAACTTTAACACATTCTCTATTGTTCCTTATTCCCGCCCGAATTGATAAGGCCATTGGACTCCACACCCTGTGACCCCCTCCCAGCTTGCAAAAAACCGCCCTAAACTGTAACTTCTGTAACTTTCTACTGCCCATCTCAAACCTATAAAACCAACTCCTATCCCACTGCCCTTTGCTGATGCCCTTTTTCGGCCTCAGCCCACCTGCACCCAGGTGAATAAACAGCTATGTTGCTCAAACAAAGCCTTTTTAGAGGGGTTATCTTCATTCAGGGCATACATTTTAACAAGTGCAGTGGTGCAATCTCGGCTCACTGCAACCTTTACCACCTGGGTTCAAGTGATTCTCCTGCCTCTGTCTCCTGAATAGCTGGGATTACAGGTGAATGCCACCACGCCCAGCTAATTTTTATATTTTTTGTAGAGACGGGTTTTTGCCATGTTGGCCAGGCTGGTCTTGGTCCCCGAGGCTCAAGCGATCTGCCCACCTCAGCTTCCCAAAGTGCTGTGATTACAAGTGCGAGCCACCATGCCCAGCCAAAATTTACAAATATTTAGGCTTAAATTATATAAATCACTGATTTTGTTATATAACCATATGCATTCTTTTAGATCCGGTTTTGAATTGATCTTAAAAAAATACTAACAAGAATAAAGGTGTAAGTTTTTTACTGCAATGATGGAAGAGATCACCTAAATAGAATACCCTGTAGAAACCCAAAGTCAGGCCAGAAAAGAAAACACTTCTTTGAAAAACTTGAAAAACAAGACAATAGCCTGGTTATTTGAATAGCACTGATAGACTGCTCTATCTGGGGATTTCCACTGATCTTTTCTAAAACGATTCCAAAAGAAACCATCTTATTATCAATATCTTGGTGGGAGGCACAAACCTACTTACATTGAGTCAGGCAGGAATGCTTCCCCTTCTCAACCTGAAACTTAATAGAGCAAAGTTTCCAGGAGTTGCCTCAAATGCATGAAGTACCACTCCTGCCTGCTCTTGCATATTCTGTGCATTTGGAATCAATCCAAACTCCAAAATGGAAATAAAAGTACTTACCTCACAAGGTTGTTGGAGGATTAAATCATTTGAGTTTTATTATCCAAAGTAATTAACATGCTTGAAAGATGCAAATTTAAGACTTAAAATCCAACTTTAAAAAATCTCAGGCTGGACACATCAGGCCTGTGATGCCAGCACTTTGGGAGGCCAAGGCAGGAGGATCACTTGATCCCAGGAGTTCGAGCCTAGTCTGGGCAACATGGGGAAACCCTGTCTCTACATAAAATTAAAAAAGAATTAAGAAAATCTCAGTGCCCACACTCTTGCCTTGGGAGGACAGTTCACCTTTCTGCTTTTGCCTTTGTTTTTAGGAGAAGATATCATCTCTAATATATCTTAGATCTCTAAAATGTCTCGATGTCATTCTTTGGACTAAAAACATTTTGGCTAATGAGATGTTTTAAACCTAGCTTAAAACCAATTGAGATTTTCATTCTTATTGCCCAGGCTGGGGTGCAGTGGCATGTTCTTGGCTCACTGCAACCTCCGCCTCCTGATTCTCCCGCCTCAGCCTCCTGAGTAGTTGGGATTACAGACATGTGCCACCATGCCTGGCTAATTTTGTATTTTTAGCAGAGATGGCGTTTCTCCATGTTGGTCAGGTTAGTCTCGGACTCCCAACCTCAGGTGATCTGCCAGCCTTGACCTCTCAAAGTGCTGGGATTACAGGTGTGAGCCACTGTGCCCAGCCCCAAAATTATTTCCTGAACAGCTTCAACACGTCTAAAACTGACACAAATATTTTGGAGGGCACCAAATTATAGATATAAGACACACTTCCTGACTTCAAGGAGTTGAAGAACTGAAGGAATCAGAGATGGCTACAAAAAGAATGGACTTCCGACTTACTTCAGGTCAGGCTTAGAGGAAGGAATGAATTTTAATCAATGGAAGAAAGGGCATAGGATGAAGAATACGAAGTCTATGTTCTTTAATTTTAGTCCTGATTTTGTGGCCTTGAACAAGTCATTCATCACTTTTTCCCCTTCACAAATCCACCAGTATTAAGGACCTACTATATATAAAGTATTGTGCAATTAACTAATGAGGTGGGCAGATCATCTGAGGTCAACAATTGGAGACCAGGCTGGCCAACATAACAAAATCCTGTTTCTACTAAAAATATAAAACTTGGCCAGGTATGGTGGCTCACATCTGTAACTCCAGCACTTTGGGAGGTTGAGGCAGGCAGATCACATGATCAGGAGTTTGAGACCAGCCTGACCAACATGGTGAAACCTGGTCTCTACTAAAAATATAAAAATTAGCTGGGCGTGGTGACTCATGCCTATAATTCCAGCTACTCAGGAGGCTGAGACAGGAGAACTGCTTGGACCTGGGAGGCAGAGGTTGCAGTGAACCAAGATTGAGCCACTGCACTCCAGCCTGGGCAACAGAGCAAGATTTCATCTCAAAAAAAAAAAAAAAAGGGGGGGGGGGGTGGTGGGGGAAAGCTGGGGAAAAAATTAATTAATTAAAATAGTTAAAGATTTTCCAATCTAAAATTAAATAAGAGGTAGCTCAAAACTAAAAATAACTCCAAGCTCACATAATATTGGTATTATAAAACAAATTTTTAAAGAGATGGAGTTCTCACTATCACCCAGGCTGACGTGCAGTAGCATGACCATGGCTCACTACAGCCTCGAACTCCTGGGCTCCAGCAATTCTCCCATGAGCCTCCTGAGTTGCTGGGCTATAGGCATAACTAGATTTTAACTGCACCTAGTTAAAATCTATTTTATTAAAGAGAATTTTTTAAACCTGCTTTTGTCATTTCATCCTTTCTCAATCAAAAACATAGCATGAAACCTAAATTCAGCATATGTAGACTTTTTACTATTTAGAACAGTTATAGTGTGTGAAATAAAATATGTAAAAATTATTCTTTGCATTAAATTTTCAGATTCATAATCCATTCTCCTCCCATTTGAAACCATAGTTGTCTTTTGCCACTGAAAACAGTACTTCATTTGATAGCTGTGGATTCAATAACTGGTTTATGATAGAGCATTGAACTTATCTAACAAAAACACAACACATGTATCAGTACTTCCCCGTTGTCCTGTGTATTCTAAATCTTTGCCAAAAGCAGAGGAAAGAAAGTACAGATGGACAGGATATCCTTAAACTATTCAGTTGGCTTTATGTCATTCAGGGAGAAGTCTAGTGTCTGATTCATAGTTAGAAATCTAAATTAGGGCTGGTTGTGGTGGCTCACACCTATAATCCCAGCACTTTGGAAGGCTGATTGGGCAGATCACTTAAGGTCAGCAGTTCAACACCAGCCTGGCCAACATGGCGAAATCCTTTATCTACTAAAAATATAAAAATTATCTGAGCATGGTGGTGCACACCTGTAATCCTGGCTGTTCTGCTAAGGCAGGAGAATAGCTTGAACCCAAGAGACGGTTGCACTGAACCAAGATTGTGCCACTGCACTACAGCCTGTCCTAGGGCTAGGAGGTAGGTCTCCCTCATGAGCAGTTTGCCTGTCAGTAGGCAAGCTTTGAAGTGCTGAATCCTTTGCCTAAAGGGAAATGAAGAAATCCTCGTTTTTCAAGATTCACATATTACCTCCAATACAGCTTGTGGCTTAAGAGAGTAAAGTTAAGGAGAAAAGCAGACAACAATTTCTTAAGGGGAATAACAGAAACCAAGGACCTCCAAATTTACTTATAGAAAATTACAACACATTGACTTTAGGGTCGTGGCCACATTTTGATGTCCTTGTCCATTTTGATATACATTTTAATATTATATATGCATATTAAGTCACTGTACATCTAATACAGTTCAGCAAATATTCCAGAGAATCTAGTAGTGGGTATTGGATAATTATGTTTAGTACTGAGACTATACCAGCCTTTTCGTGATGCCAAACCACTTAATCTCCATAAGCCTGTAATCTCATCAGTGAAGATAAAATTGTGACATTTGCATGGCTATGGTGAGGATTTAAAGAGCCAGTGAATATAAAGGCCTGATTACAGTATGTTCCTTCACTCAAACAGTGCTTTTGCTTTTTTCTTTCCTTCTTTTTTCCTTAGTAGACAGACATAGCTCTATAATCTTGAAACTTACAATCTAGAAGAGGATAGACTATAATCATGACAAGGAAATAATCAGGATAAGGATAAGAATGCTACTATTACTAATAATAGTATAAGTTAATACTTAGGTAGAACTTGTTGTAATTAAAGCATTATTCTTGGTGTTTTTTGTTTTTTGTTGTTGTGTAAGATAGGGGTCTCGGGTCTTACTATGTTGCCCAAGTTAGTCTCAAACTCCTGGGGCTCAGAGATCCTCCTCCCTCAGCCTCTCCAGTAGCTGGGACTCTAGGCATGACCACAGCACTCAGCTACGGTACTATCCTAAGGATGGTCCACATTTATCTCATTAATCAAACCTTATAACAACCTTCTTAGACAAGTAACTAGGGCCATGATAGTGCTACATAAATATGTGGGAGTGACCTTCTAAACTCCATTCTTGAGTGGTTGGGGAAAGTACCTTCTTGGAATTAATAATATTAGATAAAATGATGTGGGGGTATGGGCTTGGGATGCTGAAAGATGTTCTGAATAAAAAGTAACTACATGTATGAATGCCCAGAGGTGAAAATGCACACATGGATGGATGATCAAAGAACCAAAAGCAGTTCCATTCAGGCAATAAATATGTGAAGTACACAAATAATCTACAAATCCACATAACAGGCAATGTGGTGACTGGGGTGATATACAAAGAGAGGCACTCTTAGGAAAGGCAGAATTTCTTTTTTTTTTTTAAAGATGGGGTTTTACCATGATGGCCAGGCTGGTCTTGAACTCCTGACCTCAGGTGATCCACTCACCTCAGCCTCCCAAAGTGCTAGGATTATAGGGGTGAGCCACCACGCCTGGCTCAGGTAAGGCAAAGTTTCATAAAGGCAAGAAGAGTTGGATGATGGGTAAACCAACTGGATGGTTGCTCCTAGGGAAAACTTGTTCACAGCCCTCTTAAAGAGCATGGCAGCCACGGTCTGTGTCCTAAGCTAGTTAGAGCCCACCCTACCCAGCAGCTCCCACTTGTACTGATAAATACAAACAAATCCCAATGGACCAAGAAGGAAATGCATGGCCCCCAAAATAAGGCAGTGGAAATACAACTGCCAGGAATTGGATTCAAATAATCAGAGCCTTGCAGTCAATATAGTGAAAATAATGGTGGTGGCGGGGAGAACTGTAGAAAGTAAAGATAACCTGAAAAGCAGCCTTGCTAAGTATCCCTTCTTTAAGAAGCCTGAAGAATGTAAATATCTTGGCAAAATGCTGGAGAAGCCCACCTGTCAGCAACAGCCTGTACTGGGGGATCCTCTGAACCGGCTTGAGCAGGTAGTGCTTGAGGGCCAGATTAGCACAGCGAGGGCTCATCTGAAAGGAGAAGGCATCCAAAATAAGCACAAGTGTTTTCTAAGAAGCAAGGGACCCAGATTCAAGCGCTCGGGAAGCTAAACTTTCAACACCAAGCAATCTAGAAAGTGATTTGGAGAGGCTCCCTTTCATTTTAAGGTACAGCTGTTACATACACTGAGAGTAAATCCCAGCCAGATTCACCACCAAGCCCCACCCTTTCCTGTAGGCAGTCCCTGAAATCACTTGCTCCTAGGGAAAACTTGTTCACAGCCCTCTTAAAGAGCATGGTAGCCACGGTCTGTGTCCTAAGCTAGTTAGAGCCCACCCTACCCAGCAGCTCCCACTTGTACTAATAAATACAAACAAATCCCAATGGACCAAGAAGGAACTGCATGGCCCCCAAAATAAGGCAGTGGAAATACAACTGCCAGGAATTGGATTCAAATAATAATCAGAGCCTTGCAGTCAATATAGTGAAAATAATGGTGGTGGTGGGGAGAACTGTAGAAAGTAAAGATAACCTGAAAAGCAGCCTTGCTAAGTATCCCTTCTTTAAGAAGCCTGAAGAATGTAAATATCTTTTGCAGATGCATGGCCTTATAAAAAGCCCCCAAATCACAGTTTTTATAGGAGCATCTGATTGTGGAACCACATTTTGGCTTGACTATAAAGACATTTGGTTATCCCTTGAAACCTCTCTTCCTTAGAATGTACAACCGACATCTATGTCAGCACATTCCTGAGCCTCACCCTCATTCTCCAACCTAAGAGTTTACTGTGAGGTGGCATCAAAAAGGCCAAGTAAAAATGTCCCTGCATCCTAAGAACTACAAAAAAAGTCACGCTTCTAACATACCCCAAGTTGGTGGGGAAGTTTTTTCAGATTTGCTCAGACTTTTATCATTTTCTAACCACTGTCTGGTACACAAAGTGATTATTAAATTATAATGATCATGCATGTTAAAAAAGTATCTTTCATTTAAGCATCATTAATCCAGATTGCTAATTATCCTGGCCTTATGACTTCCTGTTTTCTTTTCTTTTTGGAGACAGAGATTTGCTCTTGTTCCTAGGCTGGAGTGCAATGGTATGATCTCGGCTCACTGCAACCTCCGCCTTCTGGGTTTCAGTGGTTCTCCTGCCTCAGCCTCCTCATAGCTGGGATTACAGGCATGTGCCACCAAGCCTGGATAATTTTGTATTTTTAGTAGAACCGGGGTTTCTCCATGTTGGTCAGGCTGGTCTCAAACTCATGACCTCAAGTGATTCCTATGCCTTAGCCTCCCAAAGTACTGGGATTATGGGTGTGAGCCACCACACCCGGCATGGTTCCCTGTTTCTTTTTTCTTCTTTTGTTAATAAGGTAATACAATAACTCACTAGACTGTTACCAAAACCTGGGTCAATCATCAGTTGCCACAATTATATCATACTTTGTTTTCTGATAGCATAAAGACAACAGAGGAGAGGAAAAGAAGATTACAGGTGACTTTAAAGTTTAATTATTTATCTATTGCCCAAATCAGAAATCAGCGATATCATAATGTTTTTAAAACTTTTCATTTTGGCTGGATGTGGTGGCTTACGCTTATAATCCCAGCACTTTGGGAGGCCGAGGCAGGTGGATCAAGAGGTCAGGAGTTTGAGACCAGTCTGCCCAACAAAGTGAAATCTTGTCTCTACTAAAAATACAAAAATTAGCTGGGCATGGTGGTGAGTGCCTGTAATCACAGCTACTGGGGAGGCTGAGGCAGATGAATCGCTTGAACCCAGGAGGTGGAGGTTGCAGTGAGCCGAGATCGTGCCACTGCACTCCAACATGGGTGACAGAGCCAGACTCCATCTCAAAAAAAAACCAAAACCAAAAACAAAAACAAAGAAACAAAAACAAAAAACTTTTCATTTCTAGTTTTGTGTGGCTGGAATTCAGTGATCTTTTTTAAGTTTCAAAACAGAGAAATAAATACTAAAACATAGTACCCAAATTTCATTCCAAATTGATAGAATGGATTTGTGATTTTATCCCCAATTAAATCAGGGTTCCACCCTCACAACTCTGAGTCAAAAGTAAAAGCTTTGGCTGACACATGCTCTAAACAGGTTATCACTTTTTCTTAACTTTGGCACCAAACTCATGTTATTTATTCATCTGAAGGGAAACATAAATTCTATTTGCCATCCATCATTGTAAGTTAGTTGTTAGGATAAAAGAAAAAAGTTAAATTAAAGTTAAGAAATATTCCTTAGAGTAATCAAATTCATTGAGTCAGAAAGTAGGGTGGTTGCCAAGGGCTGGGAGGGAAGAGAGAATGGAGAGTTAATGTTTAATGCCTACAGTTTCAGTTTTGCAAGATGAAAAGTTCTAGAGATCTGGTTGCACAAGAATGTCAATGTACTTAACACTACTGAACTGTACACTTAAAAATGGTTAAAATGGTAAATTTATGCTATATGTATTTTACCATAGTTTAAAAGTCCAATCAGAATATTCTTTCTGGTGGAGTGGCTCATCACTTTGGAGGCCAAGGAGGGTGGACCACCTGAGGTCAGAAATTCAAGACCAGACTGGCCAACATGGTGAAACCCCAACTCTACTGAAAATACAACAAGTTAGCCAGGTGTGGTGGTGCATGCCTGTAATCCTAGCTATTCAGGAGGCCAAGGCAGAAGAATTGCTTGAACCTTGGAGACGGAGGTTGCAATGAGCCGAGATTGCGCCATTGTACTCCAGCTGGGGCCACAGAGCAAGACTCTGTCTCAAAAAAAAAAAAAAAATTCTTAAGCTCCTCTTTCCCCACCTCCTTCCCATCCTCCCTTAAAAAAATTCTTTCCAAGTCAAAATATTCCCATGTGCAATAACAGATTTTCAAAATTAAGTCATGTATACTTCTTGAGTTCTCACCATTTAAATTGTTCAATTCCTTCTTTGATTTTGAAGGGATTATATTTTAACATCTTTTTGTTTGAAAGCTTTGTTTTCAATGACTGTAACTTATTATTAAAGCTTCACAACAAAAACAAAGAGAAGTGTTCAACATTAGATGGTAGCAAATACCTCAAATTCTCTAACAACAGCAGCAAAACCTGGATTTTTCTTGCACTGTTCATCCAACAAGGCTATATTCTTATCAAATTCTTTGATGTAGGTGGAATACATTTTTAGATATGGTCCCTTTTTTACAAAGATATCAGCAATTCTTTGTTGTTCAGTCCTACGAATAGAGAAGAGATATACACAAATATAAAGAGAGAGTGATTAACATATCCAATGATAAGCAGAATCCAAATCGAAGGCATCAACTTATCTTTTTTTTTCTCTTCTTATAAGACATATCTCAAAATGCCTACTCTTCACCATGTCCACTGCCACCATCACTGCCTAGACTCTCACTGGTCTCCCTGCTTCCATTCTTGCTCTCTCCAAACCATTCTTCAGCACAACGAGAGAGTTTAAAAAAATATTTGTCGGTTGGGCGTGGTGGCTCACGCCAGTAATCCAAGCACTTTGGAGGCCAAGGTAGGCGGATCACCTGAGGTCGGGAGTTCAAGACGAGCCTGACCAACATGGTGAGACCCCCGTCTTAAAAAAAAAAAAAAAAAATTTGTCATACCATGTGACTTACAGTGGCCCTACATTACATATAGGATGAAAACAAACTCCTGGGCCAGGCGTAGCAGCTCACACCTGTAATCCCAGCACTTTGGGAGGCTGAGGCAGGTGGATCACCTGAGATTAGGAGTTTAAGACTAGCCTGGTCAACGTGGTAAAACCGACTCTCTACTGAAAATACAAAAATAGCCTGGCAAGGTGACTCACATCTGTAGTACCAGCTACTTGCGAGGCTGAGGCAAGAGAATTGCCTGAATCCAGGAAGTAGAGGTTGCAGTGAGCTAAGATCACACCACTGCATTCCAGCCTGGGTAACAGAGCGAGATTCCATTTAAGAAAAAAAAATCTTGGCCGGGGAGGTGGCTCATGCCTATAATCCCAGTACTTTGGGAGGCTGAGGCACACAGATCACTTGAGGTCAGAAGTTGCAGACCAGCCTGGCCAACATAGTGAAAGCCCATCTCTACTAAAAACACAAAAATTAGCAGGGTGTAATGGCAAGCGCCTGTAATCCCAGCTACTCAGGAAGCTGAGGCAGGAGAATCACTTGAACCCAGTAGGTGGAGGTTGCAATGAGTCGAGATTGCACCACTGCACTCCAGCCTGGGCGACAGAGTGAGACTGTCTCAAAAAAAGAGAAAAAGAAGAAAAACAAACTCCTTACCTGGCATACAAAGGCCTACCCTTTCTGACTCCTGTCACACTTCTCTTCCTCTTCCCCATTTCTCTCCCACCACACTGGCCTTCTTGATCTTCTTTGGACACATGGAGTTCATCTGCACTATGCAGACTTCCACTAATGCTTCCACATGCCTGGAAATATAGAACTCTGGCTGGCTCCTCCTTTTTTTTCAGATGTCAATGTAAATACACTGCCTTCACAGAGGGCCTTCCTTGACCACCCAAGCTTCATTCGCTACCACAGCATCCTATTTTCAGTCTCTGCAACTCAGAAACTGCTTCTGATAGTTTCCATATCTGTTTCTCTGGTCCTTCCCCTATTAAATGTCTGCTCCATGAAAGCAAGAAGTCTGTTTTGTGCACTGGGATAACCCCTACATACTTAGAGCACAAACTAGCACACAGTAGACATACAAACCTTGTTGAATGTGAAAATAAAATATTTCATCAATTGTTTTTAAAAGCCAATGGAGGCCGGGTGTAGGGCTCACGCCTATAATCCAAGCACTTTGGAGGCCAAGGCGGGCGGATCACCTGAGGTCGGGAGTTCAAGACCAGCCTGACCAACATGGTGAAACCCCGTCTTTAAAAGAATAATAATAATATAAAGAAAAAAGAAAAGAAAAGCCAATGGAAAATGTTATTTCAGAATCAACTAAACCAAAGAATATGTATTGACTTGAACCCTATGAGAAAACTATTTTAATAAATAGAAAATTAGGCTGCGTGCAGTGGTTCATACCTATAATCCTAACACTTTGGGAGGCCGAAGAGAAAGAATCACTTGAGCCCAGGAGCTGAAGACCAGCCAGGGAAATATAAGGCAACCTGTCTCTACAAAAAATTAGCTGGGCATGGTGGGGCATGTCTGCAGTCCCAGCCACTTGGGTGGCTGAGGTGGAAGGATCACTTGAGCCCTGGGAAGTCAAGGCTTCAGTAAGCCGTGGTCACACCACTGAACTCTTGGCCTAAACAAGAGAGTGAAACTCTGTCTCAAAAAGAAGAAGAAGGAAAGGATCTGAAGCAAATAAGCTCCCCCACCTTTTTTTTTTTTTAATTTAAAACAAGAAAAAAAAAAGGATTTTTTTTTTGAGATGGAGTCTTGCTCTGTCACCCAGGCTGGAGACCAGTGGCATGATCTCGGCTCACTACAACCTCTGCCTCCCAAGTTCAAGTGATTCTCCTGCTTCAGCCTCCTGAGTAGCTGGGACTACAGGCAGGAACCACCACACCTGGTTGATTTTTATATTTTTAGTAGAGATAGGGTTTTGCCATATTAGCCAAGCTGATCTTAAACTGCTGACCTCATGATTCACCCGTCTCAGCCTCCCAAAGAGCTGGGATTACAGGCATGAGCCCCCATGCCCAGACAGTAATTTTTTTAGAAAAGAAAAGGCCAGGTGTGGTGGCTCACGTTTGTAACCCCAGTACTTTGGGAGGCTGAGGCTAGTGAATCAGCTGAGGTCAGGAGTTGGAGTTCAGCCTGGCCAACATGGTGAACCCCATCTCTACTAAAAGTACAAAAATCAACCGGGTGTGGTGGCAGGCACCTGTAATCCCAGCTAATTGAAAGGCTGAGGCATGAGAATCGTTTGAACCCGGGAGGTGGAGGTTGCAGTGAGCTGACATTGCGCCACTGCATTCCAGCCTGGGTGACAGAGCGAGACTCCATGAAGGGAAGGGGAGGAGAGATCTCATCCAAGGATTACAAAAATTTTGTCAGTAATAAGTGCTTTACCCATAATTGTAGTTTTAGGTGTTCCTTTCATCAATTTAGTTTGTTTTCCAGGAATGCTTAATATGTTAACACAGAACATCCAGTTATAAACTTTTGGAAACTTTTAGTACAAGCAAAAAATATATTTAAGCCTCCTTATCACACTTGCTTCCACAAATACATACATCTTTTTAAGCCAATTCAGATTAATTTTTAAGATAATTTTTTTTTAAGAAGAAAATGACAAAGTATATACAGGAATATGCTTGGTAATTACATTTTACTTCTTTTTTTCCTTTTCCTGAGATGGAGTCTCGCTCTGTCATCCCGGCTAGAGTGCAGTGGTGCAATCTTGGCTCACTGAAGCCTTTGCCTCCCAGTTCAGCCTCCCGAGTAACTGGGATTACAGGCACCCACCACCATCTCTGGCTAATTTTTGTATGTTTAGTAGAGACCAGGTTTTGCTGTATTGACCAGGTTGGTCTCGAACTCCTGACCTCAGTGATCCACCCACCTCAGCCTCCCAAAATGCTGAGATTATAGGTGTGAGCCACCACCGCCTGGCCTATCATGACCTTTAAAGACTATATTTTAGTCATTCCTCAGTCCTTAATTCTGTGTTATTTTACACTTAGGCTACTGCTAAGTATTAATTGCTTATCTGCCATATTTTTCCAACATATAGAGGCAAGATACTTCCAAAACAAGCAGAGGGTATCTTTCTGGTTTATATACAAAGAAAGCTTAGAGAAATTTTATCATGAAGGTAGGTGATACTATTTTCTTATTGTAATCATGCTGTGTTCCCTATGGTCTTCAACAATAAATTCAATCCTCCTAGACCAATCTTTCTACATTATTTCCACAGAAGTCACCAAAGCCTCTGCATACTTATTTTCTTCAGCCTAGTGTAAGTAGCTTCCAATACTAACCTTTCAGTATTCTTTTCCTGTTTTGAAATTTATAGCTTCTACAAGGACATCATACGTATATAAATTTGCCTTTCTTTGGGAGGCTGAGGCAGGTGAATCACCTGAGGTCAGGAGTTTGAGACCAGCCTGACCAATATGATAAAACCCCATCTCTACTAAAAATATAAAAATTAGCCAGGCATAGTGGCATGTGCCTGTAATCCGTACTACTGGGGAGGCCAAGACAGGAGAATTGCTTGAGGCAGAGGTTGGAGTGAGCCAAGATTGCACCACTGTACTCCAGCCTGAGCAACAAGAGCAAAACACGGTCTCAAATAAATAAATAAATAAATTGCCTTTCCAAATTATTTCAGTGAATGGCCTCTTTAACTGGAAAAAGAGTTTCATGACCTGTAGTTCCAGAAGGTAAATGAAATATTCATAAACTTCCAATGTGAATGCAGTATCTGTCCACATTCAATCTCAAAAATCTTGATTGCAGAAGTTCACCTATGGACATTTAAATTGGCTGCATCTTGCTTTTGAGTCAGCGTTACCAAAGATTTGTTTAAAATAATAGTATTGAGCTTGGTGTGCCAAGGTTGTGAATTTTGGCCCATTGAAAATAATCAATCTGGTGAGGCATGGTGGCTCAAGGTTGTAATCCCAGTATTTTGGGAGGCCAAGGCAGGCAGATCATCTGAGGTCAGGAGTTCGAGACTAGCCTGGCCAACATAATGAAACCCCATCTCTACTAAAAATACAAAAAATTAGCTGAGCATGGTGGCAGGCACCTGTAATCCCAGCTACTTGGGAGGTTGAGGCAGGAGAAATGCTGGAACCTGGGAGGTCAAGGTTGCAGTAAGCTGAGATCGTGCCACTACACTCTAGCCTGGGCAACAGACTGAGACTCCATCTCAAAAACAAAACAAAACAAAACAAAATCAATCTATGGGTAACTGCAAAGATAAGATATTGAAACAACTCAATATATATCTCTGTCACATGTGAGGCCCTATGGCTTCATCTAAAATTGGAAACACCAGGAAAATCTGAAAACAGTCTATTTTTACCAGTGCAACATTCTTTCCTCCAGTTCCTTCAGAAGATCCCGGTTGAGCTCATACAGCTGAGGCAAGTAGTATAGGATCTGATTTAGAATCCGGTCCTCAATCACTGGTTTCCCAAGTTGCCTGGAAGCATGAGCTACTGCATCCCGGAAATCCTATTACAGTCCAGAGCAGGAAAAACAATACACACGCATGTAACTTGATAACAAGCTTTTATCCTCAGTCCCTCTCTTCCCTAAAATGATACAGATTGCACAGCTGTATTTCCCATGAGGAATTACAAATCCAAAGTACCCCCTTCCACCTACCCCACTCACCTAGATAGGAAATAAAAATAAAAAATAGTGGCTGAGATGATTATCTGATTTTCAAACATACTATATGATATTTCTCTTAAACCTTTTAGTTTGATATCTTTACTTAGCAATTATACTAAGCGGGTGTCTGGAAACAGTAATGTAATTCTAAATAGTCTTTAGAATTATTCCAGTACAATCAATATAAACACAATTCACTTATTTTAAAAGTCCCCAGGAAATCTTAGCTAATTTTATTCTGGATTTAAGAGTCCCACCGTCCACTTTCAGTCATTATTTCCCAACAAGTGGAGCATCCTAAGTGAGGCATGTGGAGAGAGGCACGTGTTGTGGGTCTCCCTCTGTTGTCCAAAATGGAGCACAGTGGCCCAATCTTGGCTCACTGCAACTTCCTGAATAACTGGGATTACAGGCACGTGCCACCATGTCAGGCTCATTTTTGTAGTTTTGTAGAGATGAGGTTTCACCATGTTGCCCAGGCTGGTCTCAAACTCCTGAGCTCAAGCAATCCTCCCACCAGGGCCTCCCAAAGTGCTGTGATTATAGGCATGAGCCACCGTGCCTGGCAGGCACATGCTTGCTAATCAGAATCCTAGGATACAAGCCCTTGCTCCTTATTTACTGTGTTTCCTTGGGCCAACCTGATTTTCCTCATCTGCTAAATAAGTATAATAGTTATGAGGCTTAAATTAGATACTGCATATAAAACTTTTTTTGCAATGCGTTTGCCACACAGAATCAACGAAACATTTTAACTCTGGACCTGAAATTCTCCCCTCCCTCTAGCCAACCTCTCAATAAATTCACCAGGGTTTACACTTTTCACAAATAAGAATCTTTCCCTTCACATATTATTTTTCATCTACTATTCTCTAGACTATCTATACCATGTTTTAACACAGGTCACTATCACCACACCCTATCACTCCAGAGGGAAAGGGTAGGGTAGGAGATAAGTATTTGCCTAGATTTCATTGTCCCCTAAGGGTGGACCTCAAGATACAAGTAAAACAGAATGAAATCTGTTCCACAGTCCTGAGTATTCAAAAACCAAGATTTGTTCCTTCTCAGAAACAGCGGTTTTAATTAAAATCTGAAAGCAAAAGTGGGTAAATGACTAATAGGCCTTATCTTCCTTTACCTTTATTTCCAACCACTTTCCTTTCAGGGATTTACTGAAATCCTTTCAGGGATTTACATTTGTAAATGAAATCAGCAAAAAAAGACGCTGTTCTTTCCAATGATCCTTTCAACACCTGCCCCTAACATACATATATATATTAACCATGAGGGTTTTTTTTAATACTCTGGGCAACAAAAAAAACTCACAGATAACAAGTATATGAAAGGATTATTTTCCTAAACTATGGCAATTTTAAAGAAGTCCAATCCTCTTATGCTTATCAATGCTAAAAAACCCTTCACTTAGGACTCAGTATCTGCCACTAAGTTTACTGATCCAACAGTCACATTAGCCCAAAGGAGCCAACTACTCACACCAGTAACTAAAGGACTAACTTGTATAGCTAATTAGTATCATATAAAATAAGAATATTTAATTCTCATAGTATTATAAGCTCCAATCCAGAAAGCCACACAGAACATCTCCAGAAACCAAACGGATATCAGCCAAATTTCACCTCCCAACAGCTTGCTTCAATCAGCACTCACATCTACTAAGAAAAAATAGAGCCACTTAACACTTGAAAATCATTAGATTGTCTGCTATTAGGGAAGGCTACAGAATACATTTACACGTCATGAATAATGTATTCAAAGCAGAACAGTTAAAACATTCTCTGTAATATCTTTTTGCTTTTGTTTTGACCAATATAGTGATTAATATAATTTGGATGCAAGAGACCCCTGCTCAGCAAAGCGATAACCACTCCCCTTTCTTCTGGTGGAGTAAGTGATGACTATATTTGTCTCCTGGCAGCAGGATAACTCTTGTTTCCCAGTTGGAAGGTATTTCCTCCGCCATGACAGTGACAGTAGATGTTAGCTGCTAAGTAACTTAAGGACCCAGTTTGACACAGCTTTTACCAGACCCTGCATTCCATATGTCTGCCACCATTGCCAAAAAGGAAACTTGTTTATTTAAGACACATTTAACAGAGAGCATCCAAATTCAAACTGAGCTGACCAGTGGGACGGCTGTGTCTAAATGGATGCCCTTGTCACACACCAGGCAAAACTTTGCTTTTCCCAGTACTACTGTATGTTTTTAGGCAGCTCAGAATGAACTGATGGCCCACGATGTTGTCTTTTAAATTATAAGTAGTATGTCAGAATAAAATAGAAATTTAATAATTAAAATAGCAAAAGTACACTTAATAAACAGTATAAGAATTTAGAGTACATATCCATGAAACCTAGAGGGTTCTTTTTTTTTTTTTTGAGACAGAGTTTTGGTCTCGTTGCCTAGGCTGGAGTGCAATGGCATGATCTCGGCTTACTGCAACCTCCACCTCCCAGGTTCAAGCAATTCTCCTTCCTCAGCCTCCCAAGTAGCTGGAATTACAGGCATGTGCCACCATGCCTGGCTAATTTTGTATTTTTAGTAGAGGCAAGGTTTCTCCATGTTGATCAGGTTGGTCTCAAACTCCCGACCTCAGGTGATCCTCCTGCTTTGGCCTCCCAAAGTGCTGCGATTATAGGCGCTTGCCACTACGCCGGACCTACTTTTTTTTTTTTTTGAGATGGAGTTTCGTTCCTGTTGCCCTGGTTGGAGTGCAGTGGCGCAATCTCGGCTCACTGCAACCTCTGCTTCCCGGGTTCAAACAATTCTCCTGCCTCAGCTTTCTGAGTAGCTGGGATTACAGGCACCCACCACCATGCCTGGCTAATTTTTGTATTTTTAGTAGAGATGGGGGTTTCACCATGTTGACCAGCCTGGTCTCGAACTCCTGACCTCAGGTGATCTACCTGCCTCAGCCTCCCAAAATGCTGGGATTACAGGCGTCAGCCACCATGCCCAGAATTTTTTATCTTTTTTTTTTTTTGAGACAGAGTCTTGCTCACTCTGTCACGTCCAGGCTAGAGTGTAGTGGTGAGATCTCAGTTCACTGCGAGCTCCTATTCCTGGGTTCAAGCCATTCTCTTGCCTTGGCCTTCCCAGTAGCTGGGATTACAGGTGTATGCATTTGGCTAATTTTTTGTATTTTTAGCAGAGACAGGGTTTCACCATGTTGGCTAGACTGGTTTCAAACTCCTGGCCTTAAGTGATCTGCCTGTCTCAGCCACCCAAAGTGCTGGGATTACAGGTGCAAGCCATTGTGTACAGCTAGAGAATTACATATTTAAAGAAAGTACTCGACAAATATTCTGTACTAGTCAGGTTCCTGAATCTTTTCTTAGGTCCATCTGTGCACTTTCTTATAAAATCCAGTTTTAGCAAGAACCTCCTACCCTTGATATTGTTTGGGTTCCTCATCCTCTACCATTGCCCAGGCGATGTATGATGGCCCTGGCTGGTCTGTCTTCTGCAAGAATCCTGTTAAGTTGGTTTAGCCAGAATCTCCCTTACTCCTGAAGTTTCTTCTTAGTAATTTTCCATCCACTAACTCCCACTTCGCTCCTCTTTGGCTATAAATTCCCACTTGCCCATAATATATTTGGAGGTGAGCCTGATCTCTCTCCAGTACTGCAAAATCCCACTGCAGTGGTTCCTATGCCTATTGTTTTTTGTTTTTGAGATGGAGTCTTGCTCTGTCGCCCAGGCTGGAATGTGGTGCGATCTCGGCTCACTACAACCCTTGTCTCCTGGGTTCAAGTGATTCTCCTGCCTCAGCCTCCCAAGTAGCTGGGATTACAGGTGTATGCCACCATGCCCGGCTAATTTTTGGATTTTTAGTAGAGACGGGGTTTCATCATGTTGGCCAGACTGGTCTTGAACTCCTGACCTCAAGTGAACTGCCTGCCTTGGCCGCCCATGCCTGGGATTACAGGCGTGAGCCACTGCACCAGGCCCCCATGCCTATTGTGATAGTCCTGAATAAAGCCTTCTGCACTGTGCTTTAGCAAGTGTCACTGACTGGGCAGGACGACTCACACCTGTAATCCCAGCACTTTGGGAGGCAGAGGTGGGTGGATCACCTGAGGTCAGGAGTTTGAGACCAGCCTGACTAACATGGAGACCCCGTCACTATAAAAAAAAGTGTCATTGAATAATTGGGCTCCATTCCTAATTATGGCCTCCATAACCACATGCAGCAGCTCGGGCTGCAGTCTCATTCCCTCACCTCTTGGGCCACCATTCCCTGACAGCTGTGTGCTATGGCCCCAGTGCCAGATGTAACTAATTCACACAGGAACCACACACAGAATCTTTAACTTCTCAGCTCTTCATGAACCTCTACCATTGCCAAAACTGGTGCCACTGGGAGGAGGTGACATCCTTTTTTTATAAAGAGGATGATTACAACATATGTCTGGTTATTTTTCTAAATGTTAACAACCAGGATAATTTGGGAAAGTGTGATGACACTTAAAAGCCAGAGGCAAAGCTATTTTGAAGCAGAACAATCTAAATTCACCAATACCTCCTTGACAAAAATCAGTGAGGATGCAAGACAGCAGGATTAGCCCTTCAAAAGTTAGTTCCAGAGTTTAACTTTTCACACTGGAAAAGCTGGGTAATTAAGATATTAAAGTGGGAGGGGAGGAGTTAAGACTGTAAAAATGTTCGTTAGCTATAGAGTTTATTGGCATTCAGTACCTAGACTTCATCCTTATAATAAAACCTACCAAAGACTCTGCATGCCAAATTGAACCACCTACACTGTAGTTTCTGGTCATAATAACCTAATGCTTGTTTAATGTGGAATTTGTAGAGCTAAAAATAGGACTCTGAATTATGAAGCATATGATAATATTATTCTTACTAATTCCCCCAAACCTACAAGTAAGAATCAGATCAACTTTAAGTTGATCTTTAATTCTTTTGAGATATTAACATACCAGACTTGCCAGCTCGAATCACTTAGGGAAGACCTAAGCAAAAAATCAATGCAAATAAAATCAAGTATAAGCATCTGAGGCAATGAAGCACAAAACAGATGGCCTTCTTCATGGGGTCAGGCTTTTTATCTCCCACACCAACGAGGAGTATGCGACTTAATTACCAGCTGTCCTGACCGAGCCACCTGACCTCAGGCCATTACTTAACTACAATCATGACACAGTGAATTACAAAGACCAGATGAACATATGGACAGATATGGAGCCCTACAAGGTTCCCTGACCTCATGAAGGATACCAGGAATCACTTCACTTTAAACAAAAGCAAAGCAGCTGTTGAGGTCAAAGTGCCATGATAAATATGCAGAAATGAGTGTGAAACTATGAAGTAAAAGTAGAGGTGGGAAAGACCCACATTAACCATTTGACTTTGTTTTTAAAATGAAAATTTTTGTCAATGAAATTATTCTTCCCTCTTTATATGGAGACCTGGTGATACAGTACATATTCATCAGTGGTGCATAATCATCAATGCAAAACTGTAGAAAATAACTGAAAGCAATCTTGCATGTTTAGCTTCCAATCTCCTTTAACTAACAAGTAATCATGATAATATGTTTAAGTGACCAAGATCTAGCTTCATTTTTATCTTTAGAAGATGAAAAACCAGTTTCTCTGGTTTCCAGGGCAACTAAAAGAATTCTGAAAGCAAGCTAATACATCCAAAGAGACACTATATCCTATACAGCATGGTAGAGATTTCAAGTAATAATTTTAAATCAATTTCTAAAGAACCACTAAGTACAAGGGCTCAGACAGACCAGACTTCAAAGTCTGGTTCTGCTATTATTAAGTAGTGGGTTATTTCTGACAGTTTGCTTACTTCCTTCATTGAAAAAAAGAATAATAACATCTATTGGATAGAGTTATGAGGATTAAAATAGACAACTGATGTAACATAGCATGCTGCAAGGAACATAGAGAGCACTTAATAGAAGACTATTTATTTAATTAAAGGAGATTTGGTTAAGTTAAATGATCAGATGAACATCATTTAAGATCTACAAGTCACCTTCCCTCCCTCTCTCCTGTTGTTGCCAAAAAAGGGATCCACAAGTCCCTGAAGGCTTGGAAAGACAGCTCTGAAACAGAGGCATCTAAAGAGAAGGAAATACCAAACCAAGGTAGGAAAAACACCTCAGCAGCAAAACAAAGGTGCTCTGAACAATGAACTTCATTCAGCGAAGGGCAGTTCTCACATGAACTAAGCTGCTCCAGAGTGAAGATTTGGTAGTCATGTCAACAGAAGCTACAGGAAGATTCTTTATAACTAAAGAAGAAACGCCAAAAATGGTTCACGAGACTCAAAAGACAGGTTGTATTCAGTAAAACAGAAGGAATTAATTTTAACATGGAAAAAAAAACATGAGAACTGAGAAGGTCTTCCATTCCATTTACAATGCAATAAATCTCTTCTATTTAGTAGTAAGACATTTGAATGCCCAGCGTAGCCTTGCCTCTGGCTCTACAGATTTTATTGAGTCTCTCAAATTTTCAAGGGGATGTATGTCTCCACCTAAAGAAATTAGTGAAACAAAGATGCTTCATTACTAAGGCGATGTAACCAGTCCATCTTTGTCTAAAACCCCCTTCCAAATATTTTTAAATGCACACGATTTGTACATTTATAGAATACTTTTATAGAGATATTTACTAAGTCTAGTTTCCATCAGAGAGCAAATAAATAATCAAAAATTACTTGTACTTAATTATATTAAAAAAAAAAAACAAAAAACAGAATTTCCAAAGCTGGGGATTTTTTTCAGGCCCCTATGTTTTTTCTTTTTTTTTTTGAGACAGAGTCTTGCTCTGTCACCCAGACTGGAGTGCAGCAGCACCATCTCATCTCACTGCAACCTCTGCCTCACAGGTTCAAGTGATTCTCCTGCCTCAGCCTCCTGAGTAGCTGGGACTACAGGCATACCACAACACCCGGCTAATTTTTGTATTTTAGTGGAGATGGGGTTTCGTCATGTTGGCCAAGCTGGTTTCAAACTCCTGACCTCATGTGATCTACCCTCTTTGGCCTCCCAAAGTGCTGGGATTACAGTTGTGAGCCACCATGCCAGGCCAGGCCCCTCGGTTTCTGTTGGACCAAGTACAGAGCACAGGTAATCATTTAGTGAATATGAATCATCCATAAGTGTAACTCACTTTTCATGTTCATATGTATCCATTCAAAGAAAAGCTGACAATGATACTGTTTGCCAAGACATAAATGGATGCATATTCAGTGAACCTTTCATTTCTCCACAATTAAGCCTAATTTATGATGTTAATAATTATGCCACATAAGTAAATTGTCACCAGAGCTCCCTTTTTCATTGTTTGATCTACCTTTTCCTTTTGTTTGACCCCTTTCTTTGCTTAAGTCTTAATATCTTGCCTAAATATAATTGAACTAAAGTAACACTAAAAGCACTTCTTTAACTGTCAATGCATAATAAAACTTGTTAAAACTTGCAAGTACAAAGAAGTGCATGAGAAAAATGAATAGGCACTCAGACACATGTCATAAGTTTTTCCTAACAAGTCTGTTCAAGTTGACAATTACAGGCTGGCTGCAGTGGCTCAGGCTTGTAATCCCAGCACTTTGGGAGGCTAAGGTGGGCTGATCGCTTGAGCCCATGAATTTGAGATCAGCCTAGGTAACACGTCGAAACCCCAACTCTAGAAAAAATAAAAAATTAGCTAGGCATGGTGGTGAGTGCCTGTACTCCCAGCTACTCAGGAGGTTGAGGTGGAAGGATTCTCTAAGCCTGGGAGGTTGAAAGGCTACAGTAAGCTGTAATTGTGCTACTGCACTCCAGCCTGGGCAACAGAATGAGACCCTGCCTCAAAAACAAAACAAAACAAATTGACCATTTCAAAAAACTGAAAATGGAACTTAAAGTTAGCTGTAAAAATGTCTATTTCTACTGGGCACGATGACACGTGTCTGTAGTCCCAGCTACTCAGGAGGCTAAGGCTGGAGGATTGCATGAGCCCAAGAGTTCTGGGCTGTAGTGCGCTATGCCAATCGGTGTCTGTACTAAGTTCGGCATCAATATGGTGACCTCCTAGGAGTAGGGGACCACCAGGTTGCCTAAGGAGGGTTAAATAGGCCCAGGTTGGAAAAGGAACAGGTCAAAACTCCCATGCTGATCAGTAGCAGATTGCACCTGTGAATAGCCACTGCACTCCAGCCTGGGCAACACAGCAAGACCCCACCCCCGTCACTCAAAAAAAAAAAAAGTCTATTTTCAAGTCTGTTTCTGGGAGCTTATTCAGACTAGAGAAAAACACTTTTGAACAATGATAATGATATTCTTCATGTATTGCTAATGCAAAACTCTAACAGCAAGTATCTTCAGCAAATACCTAAGAAAATATATTATCACCTTAAACACTGTTATAAAGACACAAAGTTTGAAGACTGAACACATAGCTACTAAGACTCTTTCAGAAATCATCGTATCTACATATACATGAAATACATACATTTTAGAAAATGTCTATCATTAAGTTAGTAATGCTGAAAACTTCCAGGGGTAGGGAAAGCACAAAAGGAAATTGTCAGACTTCAAGAAAATATCAGTAGATACTTACAATATGCAGAAGTTTTAACACATCCACAAACCTGTAAAAAACAGCAATGAAAAACAGTTTTAAATGTGCCAGTTGGGGGAAAAACAGTCCTCTGAATTGTAAACTAGATACCTACACTTTCTCTGAGCTCATGATCTCCTTGGCAATATGATGAACTTTACTTTTCATTCCATTATCTTCATCCTGTGGATAAGAGTACATTTAAAAAGCATGAACTCATGAAAGAATAATGAAGATCAGCTATGAGCTAGTCAGACACAAATTTTAACTCTGACACTTACAAGTTTTCTACTAGCACACAGTTCATACTATATTACACTTCAAATGGCAAACGTGGAAAATTGATGAGTGATAACCCATGTCACAGGAGTAGCTAAGAGCAATCAGTAATCTTCACCTTCATTAGCTGGATTGATGAACTGCCCTGAGTAGCTTTAGAACACAACCATCAAAGGTTCAAAACGGAAGTCACAAACCAAAAAGGCTGCAGGGGAAATAGCTCCTTACAGATAGATAGTGGAAGAGAGTCCTTTGGGTGCATACGAATAATTTAAGAACTAGTGAATATCCAACAGGAATGCAGACGAGAACTTCACCAGAAGTAAAGCTATTTGAACTCACAACTTACGTATAGTCTGAACAGGGCTCTTCAATCTATACCAAATACAAGACAACATTACAGCCACAGGCTCTCCAAATTTCCTTAAAATCCCTTTTAGATATGTGCTCATAGAGTCAAGGCAGTTTTATTCTAAGGAGCTGAAATGAAATTTTTATTTTTATTTTTGAGACAGAGTCTTGCTCTGTTGCCCAGGCTGGAGTACAGTGGCACGATCTCAGCTCACTGCAATCTCTACCTCCCGGGTTTAAGCAATTTTCCTGCCTTAGCCTACCAAGTAGCTGGGAATACAGGTGCATGCCACCACATCTGGCAAATTTTTTATATTTTTAGTAGAGAGGGGGTTTCACTGTGTTAGCCAGGATGGTCTCAATCTCCTGACCTCGTGATCTACCCACCTTTGCCTCCCAAAGTGCTGAGACTACAGGCATGAGCCACCACGCCTGACCATGAAATTCTTTCATTACGGACTGCTTTGTATAAAAATTAAATGCTATATCTGGAACAAAAAATATGTGCATGTTTAACAAAATAATAATAAAGATGACTCAAAAAAAGTCTTGATATTTAGGTAAATTTGTTGCTATTGTTTTCAATAAAATATTGAGAGCTGGATTTAGTTCCAGGGAAGTAGCTTCTCTCCATTTGTGTTCTAGTTCAAAATCAGAACATGACAGTTCCACAGAGCAAAAAGAGTAAGGAACAAGCAAGTATAAATTTAGGTATTACACCTAAGATGAAAATGGTGACTACTGACATGAAAAGGAAAATGCTTGGATGTTTCTTTGAAGAACATCAGACCTGGTTTTAGAAATGGGTTTCTGTGCATTCTTTTTTTTTTTTTTTTTTGTGCCATGACTTGAATTTCTTTGCATTCTCGGTAGCACTGGCAACACCAGGACACAGTTATTTTGTACTGACCAGGGTGCAGCTGAACAAGGCAATGACATGATAAGCATTAAAAATGACCATGACAGGCCAGGCACAGTGGTTCATGCCTGTAATCCCAGCACTTTGGGAGGCTGAGGCAGGCAGATCATGAGGTCAGGAGTTTGAGACCAGCCTGGCCAATATGGTGAAACCCTGTCTCTAATAAAGATACAAAATTAGCTGGGCATAGTGGTGCATGCCTGTAATCCCAGCCACTCAGGAGGCTGAGGCAGGAGAATCACTTGAACATGGGAGGTGGAGGATGCAGTGAGCCGAGATTGCCCCACCACACTTCAGCTTGGGCGACAGAGCAAGACTGTCTCTCAAAAAAAATAAATAAATAAAAATAAATAAAATAAAATAAATAAAAAATGACTGACAATCCAGTAGTCATTCATTAATGAAATGCCGCAGGAAAAAAATGATGGTAGCAACTTCTCTCTAAAAGTAGTCTTCTTTTGGCCGGGCGTGGTGGCTCATGCCTATAATCCCAGCACTTTGGGAGGCCGAGGCAGGACTTTAACAAGTCCAAATTTTTCTATCACAATGGGATTCTCCATATAATCTGCAGATAGAAAGTTTAATGGCTATAAAATACAATGTATAAATTTTAAATTAGGGATGAGCTTGGCATGGTGGCTCATGTCTGTAATCCCAGCACTTTGAGAGGCCAAGGTGAGAGGCCTGCTTGAGCCCAGAATTTGAGACCAGTTTGGGCAACATAGCGAGACCGTGTCGCTAGTAAAAAAAAAAGAAACTAATAATAAACAAAATTAAAATTACAAAATGCACTAAAAATGAGAAAAACAGAAACTGAAACCATTTAGGGAACTGAAGCTCTGACTCCTTCATTTCCAAATAATGCAACGTTCCTTAAAGGACAAGAGGGGAGCTCATCAGTACCTTTAAAGAAACGCAGGCACACTATACGTATGGAAGTGTGTGATTACTAGTGTCTGCTAAAATGTGTACCAGCTCTACACAAACATTTCAAGTAGGTGTTAATGTATTTTTGGCATCTACTCTTGTTTCCTCTCCTCTTTTTATCACTCTCCTATTGTTAGGTCTCTACTCTGTACCTAGTTTTTTCTCTCCTTCTCAGGACCTTGCTCTACCAGGACCTGCATTACACAGGATTGTGGAGAAGAAGCTACTCCATATAAAAAATAACTAAAAATGCAAAAACTCTAAAACTTCTAGAATAAACCATTTTTTAAAAATCCTCATGACCTTGAATTAGGCAGAGTTAATAGATATAACACCAAAAGCATAATTGATAAAAGAAAAAAACTGATAAATGAAATGTCATAAATTGTTTATGCTTCAAAAGACATCATTAAGAAGATAAAAAGAAAAGCCATAGACTGGAGAAAATATTTGCAAATCATTATTCTGAGAAAGAGCTAGTAGCCAGAATACATTAAGAACTGTGATAAGGCTGGGAGTGGTGGCTCATGCCGGTAATCTCAGTATTTTGGGAGGCCAAGGCGGGCAGATCACTTGAACACAGGAGTTTGAGACCTGAACAATAGGGCAAAACCCCATTTCTACAAACAATACAAAAATTATCTGGGCATGGTGGTGCACACCTGTAGTCCCAGTTACTCAGGAGGCTGAGGTAAGAGGATCACTGAACCCAGGAGGTTGAGGCTGTGATAAACCATGATCACGCCACTGCACTCCAGCTTCAGCAGCATAGTGAGACCGTCTTTACAAAATAAAGAAAATAAAAAACAATTACCCAGGCATGATGACACATACCTGTAGTCCCGGATACCTGGGAGGTGGAAGTGAGAGGATCACTCGATCCCAGGAGTTTGAGGCTGTAGTGAGCTATGATTGCAACATTGCACTCGAGTTTGGATGACAGAGAGAGAACCTGTCTCTTAAAAAACCCCATAAAACTCTGATAACTCAATACAACTCAAACAAAAGGGCAGAGTGCAGTGGCTCACACTTGTAACCCTAGCACTTTGGGAGGCTGAGGTGGGAGGATCATTTATTTCAGCAGAGAAGTTCAAGACCAGCCTGGGCAACAAAGCAAGATCTCATTTCTGTTAATTAAAAAAAATTTTTAAGAGAAAAGATGTGAATATGTGAAAAACATTTCACCAAAGAAGATATAATGGCCAATAAGTACATAAAAAGTTGTTCAACCTAATTAGTTATTAGGGAAATGAAAATTAAAACCACATTGATATACTTCACACCCACACAATGGCTATAATAAAAACAACCAGTGCTATCCAAATGTCACATAGAAAAAGAATCAGAAAATACCAAGTGTTGGTGAGGATGTGGAGCAACTGGAACCTTTATATATTGTTGGTGGGCATGGTAGCCCTTACTCATCTACTGTGATCAGTGTGAGAAATGAAAAATAACTTAGAGCAATCTCAGTTATGTGACGTAGGCAAAACTTATCAGGGCCAGAGAAACACGAGTATGAGATTTCAGCAATGCCCTAACCCCTATGCCCAGATGCAACTGTTTAGAGGCATTTTTATTCTTGACCGGCTGCCTCCACGAATAGTCTCCACATTCCTGGAATTTGTGATACAAAGAACAATGTAAAGCCAATCAAACAGCCTATGCTATTTTAACATAAATTATTAATAAATAGCTTAGGAATTGTCTCTTCTTTTCCTTTAAAAAACCCACTTGAGGGCAGGTGCTGTGGCTCACGCCTGTAATCCCAGCACTTTGGGAGGCGGAGGCAGGTGGATCACCTGAGGTAGGAAGTTTGAGACAAGCCTGACCAACATGGAGAAACCCCATCTCTACTAAAAATACAAAATTAGCTGGGCGTGGTCACGCATGCCTGTAATCCCAGCTACTTGGGAGGCTGAGGCAGGAGAATCACTTGAACCCAGGAGGCAGAGGTTGCAATAAGCCGAGATCCCACCATTACACTCCAGCCTGGGCAACAAGAGCGAGACTCCTCTCAAAAGCAAACACAAAACCCCACTTGTGGACCGGACAAGGTGGCTCACGCCTGTAATCCCAGCACTTTGTGAGGCTGAAGCAGGTGGATCACCTGAGGTCAAGAGTTCAAGACCAGCCTGGCCAACGGTGAAATCCCATCTCTACTAAAAATATAAAATTAGCTGACCATGGTGGTGAGTTCCTGTAATCCCAGCTACTTCAGGAGGCTGAAGCAGAAGAATTGCTTGAACCTGGGAGGCGGAGGCTGCAGTAAGCCGAGACTGCACCATTGCACTCCAGCCTGGGTGACAAGAATGAAACTCTGTCTCAAAAAAAAACAAAAACAAAAGCAAAAATACAAAAAAACCCACTTGTGGCCAGGCATGGTGGCTCACGCCTGTAATCTCAGCACTTTTGGCCAAGACTGGAGCATAACTTGAGGTCAGGGGTTCAAGACCAGCCTGATCAACAAGGTGAAACCCCGTCTCTACCCAAAACACAAAAATTAGCTAGGCATGTGGCCCACACCTGTAATCCTAGCTACTCAGGAGGCTGACACAGGAGAAGTGCCCGAACCCAGGAGACGGAGGTTGCAGTGAGCCAAGATTGTACCACCGCACTTCAACCTGGGTGACAGAGTGAAACTCCACCTCAAAAACAAAAACAAAAAAAACCCACTTGTGGCTGGGCCAGGTGTCTCACAGCTGTA